GGCCTACAGAGTAGGACAATGCCAAATCTTTCATCTAAACTCATCAAGTCCAGCAGGCTGTTGTTGGTTAACCTTGATATTGTCTCAGGTAATGCAACGATGACGACTGAGGTTAGTAATAAGGTGTTCGTAACCTCACGTGATTATAAGCTGCATATGCTAAAGCTGTCGTGGGGTCTTACCTATGTTCATTCCATCACCATGCCCAAATGAATCCAACTTGAGAATAAATTAAATTCGTAATTGGTATCTTCCATAGTTGGTTTTTTTACATCATATTGATTTTGAAAAGCGATTGGTTCAACGACACCATCCTGGAAGATGCGAGTCTCCAGTTTCTCTCTCCTGCTTGCGTGGGTCACTACTGTTCACGGCAGTGCCGGCGACAACCAAGAAGCCCAAGTCGCCAAAACAAAGAACATTGCCATCATCGGTAGGTATTAATCGCTCTCACATGCCCCAATGGCCTCGCTCTCCAACCGGCCGTCCCCGTGATATGGGGAGGAAGAGAGGAAGAAAGGGGGCTAACGGGTACTTCCATAGGTGCTGGAGCAGCTGGTTCATCAGCCGCATACCATTTACAAAAATACGCCGAGCAGGAGAACTTCAATGTCAACGTCACAGTGTTCGAAAAGGCGAGCCGAATTGGCGGCCGCACGCTGACTGTCAATGCGTTCGACTCTCCCGCAATCCCTGTTGAACTGGGTGCATCCATCTTTGTGAACGTAAACCACATCATGTACAATGCTACCCGTGACTTCAACCTGTCTGTCAATGACCTCGAAGCTACTCTTGCAGGGGGCGATGTCACAGCCATCTGGGATGGCAAGACATTTGTCTACGAGAGCGTCAGTGGCCAGTCGTGGTGGTGGGATGCCGCCAAGATGTTCTGGAAGTACGGAACGAGCCCATACTATGCCATTAAGATGGTGAATCGCGTCGTTGGCAGCTTCTTGAAGTTATATGAGAAGCCATATTTCCCTTTCAGATCACTTACGCAGAGGGTCTATGAGCTGGAGCTGGCAAGCATCACCAGCATCACAGGGGAGCAGCTCCTCCGCCAAAACAAGGCAAGACTACCCCAACATCGGTCTTATCATGTATTTTCTAACTCGGTTCAACCCAGATCAACCCTGATTTTTCCCGAGATATCATCCAAGCTGCCACGCGGGTCAATTATGCTTCCAACTTGGCTTATATCCATGGCTTGGAGACAATGGTGAGTTGGCCACTCCTGCTTGAGAGGCTTGCTCCTAACATCAGCCCAAGGTCTCGTTCGCCACTGACGGCGCCGTCCAAATCCTTGGGGGCAACTGGCAAATATTTGACAACATGATTCAATCCAGCAAGGCTTCTGTCTACAAGAACACCGCTGTGACCTCCATCTCCCTCAGTCCCCTCCATGAGGCCTCTGCACCCAAGTATCAGCTCTCGACCAAAGATGTCTCCTCTGGGCAAGCAGAGGAATACCCAGTGGCCTTTGACAAGGTAATAATCGCCTCGCCATGGCAGTTTAGCAACATTTCTGCTCAGGAGGGCGTCATTAGCCACTCCATTGATACCATTCCATACACCAAGCTACACGTGACTCTCTTCACTTCTCCTTTCTCTCTCCGACCGGGCTTCTTTGGCCTTGAACCTGGAAGCAAGGCACCCAGCACTGTATATACCACGCTGGGCGCCGACGAAGAGCCTCACAAAGGAGCCGAGGGTGTTGGCAGAACCGGATTCTACTCCATCAGTACCCTACGGACAGTCATCAACCCCAACACAGCCAAGCTGGAATATCTCTATAAGATTTTTTCCGCCGAGGCGGTCAGCGCGTCATTCTTATCAGATATCCTTGGTGCCAAGGTCCCAGAAACCTTCACCACGGTGCACGGGGAGACGGAGACCGAGGACGCCGGAGTGGATGTCATCTCCTGGTACTACCCGCACTGGTTCTACTCGTACCCGATCGAACTCCCCCGGGTCACGTTCCAGGATCCCATCATCGGGGATGGCCTGTACTACACGTCGGGGATTGAGAGCTTCATCTCCACGATGGAGACGAGCGCGCTGATGGGGATGAATGTGGCGAGACTGATTGCGGATGACATCACAGAGGCGGCGGCTGGCAAGAAGGCGGCTGCGGGAGATGGCGGGGAGACACATTCGTACAGCAATGAGGAGCTGTAGGCTGGGTCTTTTTAAAACGTTGGATATTTTTTATTTTCATTTCTACCAATATTGCGTTTTGCCACGTGTTTTACATGACTAGATTCATTTGATGAAAGACCTGGATTATATGGGCGCAGTCTGATTGCCGGATAGTCCATTCTGAGACTTCGTTCAGCCTCACATCCAAAGTACCTCGCTGCAGTCATCAAATATAAGTACTACCTATATTTGATGACTGCAGCGCGGAAGGCAGAATTCTAGGTCGCATATGGTTCGCATATGGGCCGCACGAGGAGAGACTCTCAATACGGAGTGTACTTGGCTGACATCAGGTTATCTATAGAATACTTAATGGATAACCAGATACCATCCACGGGGCCAGATAGCTTTTATTTTACTTGCGCCCACATTGCCAACAACCTACCTACCTAATGCCACGATGAATTGTTCGTGTGCCACCTATACCTATACCTATCCCTTCAATATTCCTGATCGGAAAGTCGATAACGACATAGAAGGGTTGGGGGTTCGTACTTGGAACATTGAATGTTTGAATCAATTATGGGATCATCATTCTGATGATTGGCATTAGGTCGTGGTCGGATTTACAGCTCTATCATGGATTACAATAACTCTACTGATCGCATATTACATCGTGGGATTTGATCCAGGCAGAGACCCATTCTCAGGCTCTACTGGTAGAGCAGCTTTTCAACACCGGGAAAATCCCATCGATGGACAACTCACCGAATTATTTACCCCCATGCGAGTGTTTTTTGCGGCCTGGTTACAGGCTCAAGGAGGGGCTGAAAGGCTCTTCAACAAGGTATGTTTGTCAGGTTGAGTCACTCCCCGCTACATTGCAGATCTCTAACATTGACCCCGAAGTGCATTCTCAGAATAGCAGATGCTCAACTCATCACTGGTCTAGCCATTATGATTAGTGGCTATTCCCAGCTTCACTCATCTGATCTGATAACCGCTTACCATTGGCAATTGGTACTCTATCTAGCATGGGTCACTGGACTATCTCATCTCGCATCTCTCAATGGTCTCCGTATCTACTTTCACCATCACCCGTGGGCCCGGATATGGAGATTACTCCTCATTACCGCCTTGCAGATTATGATCTTTGTAGCATTCATACCAACTGGTCACTTCACTCCCGGATGGATGGGCCATATCGTCAATTGTCCAGCTGTGTGCTTCTTCAACGCAGACATGGATACTTCAAGTGAATCATACTGGTCAATGATTTTTTCTCTTCTTCTGCTCATCTATGGCTACTTTATTCGCGTTCTGAAACTATTTCGAGCGCCCTCTACAGTTCTTCATCGTCGCTTACATGGCTTCCTGGATTATCTCAATCACAAGACACTGGACTTTTTCTTGTCGCTCTTTCGACGCCTTCCTTCCGTTTTAGCTCTTTATTTTGCGCATCTGCTCATACCTCTTAAAACGGGGTTTTTCTTTAGTCTCAGATTGACGCTGGACTTCTTTAGCTCATTGCTCGTTGAGGTAGGCTTCATGTTGGCGCCAACCCTTCTTCCCTCTTCATGTTACTTACTGCGTAGATCACCTTACTCCTTGTCTCTGGCCTGTGGGCAACTCTACGCCTTTTTAACACGCGCGAGGAAATCTCGGGTTCAGAAAACGATAAATGGGGGTTTGGCCAGGTCATGCCCGTGGTTTTGCTCGCCGCACCACTCGTGCCAGTGGTCGAAACAACGATCAGAACGTGTCTCTATAGAGGTTAGGCCCAGTTGATACTGCCTACCGCCTACATAAATATTCCTAACTCGCCTGCTAGATGGTCAAGTAGTGACTAACGGGTCTGTCAGTCTAAGACGAGGTGAGTGCTTCCAATATTCTCGCCTCAGAGCTATTGAACCTCACCAAGGGTCTCTGTGGTCATAACGAGCTTCAAGGTATAACAACGTGCAGACAATCTAGATGAGACAACAGATGATCTTACTGATCGAGCTCCCCTGTTGGATATCCCTATCCTACCCCTTGATCCAGCTCCGCCAACGCAATCTGATGCGGAGACACAAAACGACACCGTCCCCCTGATGAGTCCGCGAACAGCACCACGACAGGGATTTGAGCATGAATATCAGACAGATCCTGTTAGAGCCGAGATTAAGAGAGTTGTTGATTGCGACCAGCTTTTAAGCCACGAGACCATGATCCTGGCGACAATGCTGCCACAGACAGCCGGTTTGCTCTTTACTTCAATTCTCTTATTATTAGACAGCCTCGTCCAGCTACTGAAGCCTATTCCGGATTATATAATTAGGGAAGGTATGTCTGCCAGTTTTGCCTTCGCCGTTGTTGTCATGCCTTCAATATGTAGTGGATATCTGTGGATATCCCTCTGTTACCTGTCCCTCTGGACCAATATGAGGGAAGGGTGGCTAAAGCGGACAATTGTCTGGTTTCTCTGCCTACTTTGGGCTGCCATTTACTGTTTGTTGTTTTACTTCACCCCTGGTGAAGGTTTGCAGGTTATAATGCCCGCTGCGTTCGGACCGCTCAGTCTCGCCGTCTTAGTCCCTCTTGTATATACATCGTTCAGGCTTCGGGGGCTCAAAGGCATGGGACAACGGGCGAGATGATCTTTGGATCAAAGTTACTAGATATCAATTGTAGGGATAAAAATGGCCGCCGGAGGCTTGGATTTTCGGATCGCTTGAAGGGATGAGCTTCTGTACTCATTGCTGCACCGCAACCCCCACATAACGGTCAAGTACGATAACTGGGATTATTCTCTCACTATAGGGCCTAAAGCCTAGACTATCAAAACCGAGGGAGATGCTGAGGTCGGGAGGAGGTCTCGTCTATTGAGTAGCACCAACGAAGCCCTGCCCACAGATACGAAGCTCTCCAAACAAGTATGGATAGTCATACGTAACCTGTTCGCCCAACACGAGCATGCGAGGCTCTTCAGCCATTTCAGCAATCTTTCTTCTCCATCCGCGGATCCTCTCCAGCCAGGCGTCTTGCAGTCCAGGTACGATCATGCCCAGGCCCTCCAGCCCTTGGCAGAGCATGGTGTTCTCCCACAGCCTCTGCCTCCAGTCTCCTGGGTCGTCCTCTGTGAAATGCTCGATGTCGCGGTAGGTTGCTTCGAAATCCTCCCCGACTCTCTGCCGGGCCTCTTGCCAGTGTGGCCGCCAACGGCTGCTGTCTAGTAGCCATACCAATGCGAAGTTATTGTCATTTGGTGGTTCTTCAGGCCCTTGACCATTATCCACGTCGAAGCCATAGTCCTCATTAAAACCGTTATTCTGACCAAACCAATTATTCTCCGTAAACTCATCGTCCTCATTGTCCTCATCAAAAAAATGGTTCTGAAATAAATTGTTGCGACACGGATTGCGGCGGAATGCATCGTCATTAGCTGGGTTGGTCCGAGGTTCATTATTCTCGTCAACACGGCCGTATTGAATTGGATTGACATGCAATTCATTGTTATCATCAAAGTAATAGTTTGGAGTTTCCTCGTCGTAAATTTCGCTGAGAACTTCGCTCTTATCATCATGTAAGGCATACGGGCCGACATGGTTGACTATTCGTCGGGGATCTACCGGGACTCCGCGGGCAGCAGCCATGTCGGCTTGCTCCTCGCTCATGTGCAGACAGTGCTCATCAGGGACGCAATACTTGAGATATTCGAGTCTCGTAGCAAGGGTGAGGGGTCGTTGAACTGGCAAGGCCTGGTTGCCATTCAGGTATGTTTCGATATCGGGTGCGAAGAACTCGCCGTAGATGGCGAGATGAAACAAGGTATCCGAAGCATCTGCAGCGATAGAGGCGGCATCGCTTGCCCCCCCGGACCAGAAGTCGGGAATATGGCGCCACTGCTGGCCGACGCATTGGTCTATGATGTTTATGACTGGGTTCATGATAGAGTACTGAATGGCTTGCAGCTCACGGAGTCGACTTATTGTAAGGCCGCAGTGGAGTAGGGCCAGCTCGAGCAACGCCTCGAAGCCGCCTTGGAAGGTGGCGGCGAGGGTTTCTTCATTGGTTGTCGATTTGCGTGCCCAGTTCCCAAGCTCGCGAGCCGTTGCTGCTACAAGCAGTTCTGAGGACGGGAAGAAGGAGATGGACGACTGTCGTTCTGCGAGCCGCAAGATGGTGTTGGGCAGTGCGTCTGCCAAGATAGACCGCATGTCCTTGCATGTTGAAGAGAGGTTGCCGAAATCCTCCAGTCCATGCAAATGGCCAGCAAGGAGTAGAAGGACCTCGTGTGGGAGCGAGACTATCCGAGAAGACATCTTGACAGCAAGATGATGGGTGTTAATCAAGAATGGTGGAGGAGAGGTCGATCCAACGTCCGAATGCTATGTTACATAGGTATATGTTTGCAAGGGAAAAGATGCTTGGACCTGGAACGGCTGGATAGATACCCTAGATACGATCCCATAGACAGCCAATGGGGGGTCATAACATATTCAGCTGCAAGATGCTGACACTGGCACTGGTCTCAGCGAATGGCAGACCAGAACTCATGTGCGCCCCAAGACAAATGCTGTACAACTGACGCCGCCGCCATTTCCCTTGCTTCAATTGACATACGTCGCGATTAGACATATAGGAAGCGTCCTATTGTCTGGCAGTGACGGTACTTCAACACCAGGCCAGATCAAGACCTTCGGCGTTGAAATAAGTGGCTATATTGAGCAGCTACATTCTCCGAAGCCACCTGAGCCTGGTTTTGTTAGGTTTCAGACCTGATCTTGGCCATCGTCTAAGTGGTAAATGGTTTGGGCCATTCCATTCCATCGCGGATTTCCACACGTCCTTGTGGAGAGGAGTATACAAAGATGTGGAGGACCGAGCGACGCCGCTTGTTGAGCAATTTCCGAGGCACCAAACATTGTGCAATACAACCAGGATGAAGCAGCTGAGCAGACTATCTGGAAACATGGAGCCCGTGGTCCTATGATGGCCCTCCGTAGTCTCCTAAGATGGTCGCAATGCTGGTAGCCGTAATGCTTTATTCTCTCAACTTGTTTTAGAGTTTACTTCATTGTTGTTTTCGAGCCCCAGGTCTCTAGCCCCAGCTCAAAATATTACCTGTTTCATTCCGCTTTCCTAGCAGGTAGTTCCCGGAGAGCATGTCGGGTTCACAACAAACGATGACAGATAAGAACGATAAGAAACCCCACTACCAACTGGGCCTGCCCCTCCATGGACAGATCAACAAGGGGCTTTCACTAGTGGTTAGGTGACCCAAGGAGGGTTAGTGCCTGAAGGTCCACTGCCACAGTACAGTGCAAAAGTTACATTACAGTTTGCCCAACCCACCAAAGGTTTGATTGGATATTCACCAGGACACCATCATCCTGATTAGCTTAGCTGCCTGGTGCTATGACGCAGGCTGCCTGCCGTGTCTTGCCCTGTGATGCCATGGTCTGTTTTGCCCCAGCTGACTGATGGCCATCATCACCATCATCGCCTTGGACAGTGTATTTAAACTTGCCCATAGCCAGAAGGGGCCCTCTGTTGTCGTTAATTTGGTGGTCTTTATCACTGCTTGGTGTCTACTGCAAACAAAGCCGCTGGCACCTGATCTTAGCGTTTATCTCGTCACCCGGACAACTCATACTAATATCCCCCACTGAGCTGAGTGGTGGGAAAGAGGGACCGTGAAGAATTTATAGGCTTTGCATCGCGACTGCTACACTGTCGCTTCGTCTCTTTCTCCCACACACAACTTTTTCCTTTTTTTGCCAATTTACACGCAGTCGCCAGTCGACTTCGTAGGCCGCCAGGATGTTTGTGTTAAGAAACGGCAAGTATTCCCCTTTCCTCGCCTGCAACTGCCGTCAGCCATCACCGCGGCTGCCCCGCACCAACCAACAGCTTGGGCCCCTCCAGCATTTTGCTTACCTCTGCCCTTTGTTCGGACACTCTTCGCCTCCCAGTTATACTTGTATTCTTTGCTAACCGCCTGTTACCATAGTTGGCAAGCTGATCTTCGGCTCAAGTACACAGGAAGCTCTTTGTGAACTCCCACAAGGCCAGCTGTATCTCGTTCGACCCCTCTCACCAAAGGGCTACTCCGAGCTTATATTTAAAGACTCTGCCATCCGCATCCGACGCACCAACCAAGAGTTCCAGTATCAGCTTGTTGTTCAACGTGTCTTCGAAGAAGGTGAGGCTGAGCTGCTCGCCGACGAAGAGGGTGAAGACGCCGAGATCGACGCCCTTGCCTCAGAGCGAGACGAGAAGACCTTTTTACTTGATGAAGCGCTTCGATTTCGCGTTGAGTTCAGAGAAGGTGGCGAGAAAGTCCTTGCCTGGAAGGACCTAAGCGGCGATAACGGGGACCTATACGAATTCGTTTGCGATAACTCTGTCCCGACAAAACAAGTTGAACATTTCCTACTGGTCGCTCAGAAGTGCCAATACGAACGCAAATACCGAAAACCAAACACGACGGCATCTGACGACGATCTCGATCAGTTCACGTTTCACGAGGAGCAACCCATTCCTCCAGCCAGTCCTCTCCATAGCCCCACCATCATCCGTTCGATTGACGACTCTATCGAAGATATGTGGTCACACAAGACTGCTGCTAATACGAGCGCCAAGCGTTCAGTCCCAGAGGCTGAACCCCTTGAGGCCGCCCCAGTCGCCCCAGCTGCCCAAGAGAGTGCCCCTATTGTCGCTGAAACCCAGCCAGAAGCACTCGAGATTTATGCAGCCCAGCCTGCTGAGCTTCATCTGTTTGATCCCCAGCCTGGACATTTTGCTTTACAGGATGAATCTGTGATTGCTACTGTCTCGGAGGTCGGAAAATGGGAGTATTGGCTACAAATCCAGAGCGAGGACAAGGCTTGGGTTGGCATGCCTATCCAAGCTGAGATGAATCCTGTCTTTGACTTCAGCTTCTTGTCTTTCATCTTCAACCACTTTGGGAGCGATGGCGTAGCTCGATCCTGGTTGCTTCGCTTCAAGGATCAAAATTCGCTCGAAAAGTTCCAGGAGGGTGTCATGCAGGCCATCTGGGAGCAGCTCAACCAGGTGAAGTGGAAGAAGGTTGAGGAGAAGGATCGTGAATACGTTCTCGATGCGTTTGGTGATTTGACCATGGACGACGCTCCTGATATTCCAGAGGAAGAAGAGGAGGAAGAGGAACAAGATACCCAGTCCGATGATGAGGGTGTTCGTAATGAAGAGTACGATACGGACGAAGAATATGACAACCCTGAAGTCCAAGACCAGGGTGGCGATGTCAATTCTCAACTTGCTGTTGGCTACAAGCATGATCGCTCCTTCGTCGTGCGTGGCTCCAAGATTGGTGTGTTCAAACACACCGACAACAATCGCCTGGAATTCTCCACGAATATTTCCAAGGTAACCACTCCCACGGGCGCTCTCATGAGCCCCAAGAAGGTCATGCTGCACTCTGAGGACAGAGATTTGATTTTGCAAAATCAAAATGATCCAAACAAGCTCTACCGCATGGATTTGGAGTACGGCAAGGTCGTTGATGAATGGAATGTCCACGATGATATTCCTGTCGTGACATTTGCACCGGAGAAGAAGTTTTCACAGATGACATCAGAGCAAACATTCCTGGGTGTGTCTGGCAATGCGCTGTTCCGTGTTGATCCCCGTCTTTCAGGCCAAAAGCTTGTCGACGCAGAGCTAAAGCAATACGCTACCAAGAACGACTTTTCAGCTCTCGCTACCACAGAGAAGGGATATATCGCGGTGGCAAGCAACAAGGGTGACATCCGCTTGTTCGACCGTCTTGGCATCCGCGCCAAGACCTCGTTGCCCGCTCTCGGTGATCCCATCATTGGCATGGATGTTTCTGCAAATGGCCGCTGGATCCTCGGTACCACCAAGAACTACATTCTTCTCATCGATGCTGAACAGAAGACTGGCAAGAATGAAGGAAAACTTGGCTTCGAGAAGCCTTTCTCCGCAGATTCCAAACCTCATCCTCGTCGACTGGCCCTTACTCCTGAGCATGTGGCTCAATTCTACCACGAAACCGGCAAGCCCGTGACATTCACACCAGCCAAGTTCAACACTGGTATTGACGGTAGTGAGGAAACTTCCATCATCACTGCAACTGGACCTTATATTGTCGAATGGAGTTTGAGGAGAATTCTCAAGGGGATGAAGACCCCCTACAAGATCAAGAGATACGAGGAAGAGGTCAAGGCTGACGACTTCAAATTTGGTTCAGACAAGAACGTCATTGTTGCCTTGCCTAATGAGGTTAACATGGTGGCGAGGCAGAGTCTGAAGAAGCCAACTCGCGAGAGTATCATCGGCGACATTCGCCTGAGCACTCCGAGGAAGAGCTCGGGAAGACTGGGAAGTCTGAAGCTTGGCCGCGATGACATTGTGAATTCCCCATACTAGGGCGATTATGTGCATAGAATCGTACACCTGCTCTATGGGGCCCTTGTTGACCAGATACACTTGATCGGTCATGGGACGAATAGCAATGAGGGGTTCTTGACGGTGTCTATTTTGGGAGTTTATGGAAAGGCTTTTCTGGTTTTCTTCGTTCTATGCAGTCGAGGTCGACTACGGAATGGCTCTAGCCAAGTTTTTGTTTTTTGTTCTTAGATACCTGACTGATGATCTTTCGTTATGACAAACTTTTTTTAAAGAACTATTCAGATTGCTCTCTTGTCCTATTCAAATCAAGCATGACTTCGTCGTCATGCTCTAAGGTTTCCAAAATCGTGAATTTAGTTATCGTCGTCCTAAGCATAACTCGCTATAATCCAACACTCCAGATAGAAAAATTCAAATGCATAACCCATCAAGGCTCAACGACCCCGTGCTTTGGAGACAGCCAAGCCACATCAGTCCCTTGCCCTAGTTTGTTCCCCCTTTACTTACCCGTCCTTGTGCCGACGACATCACGAAAGCCAATAGTAACACACTACGAGGCTGGTGCTTCGGCCGGTGCTTCGGCTGCTGCCCCTGCTGGCTGTTCACCCTCGGTCTTTCCTTTGACTAAGCCGCCGACGAGCTTCTCAACACCTTCAACAGCGTGCTGAATCTTCTGTCCCAGGCCAACCACACCGCCCGAGGCGCCGGACGAAGCATTGTTACTTATACGGATCATCTCAGCAACGAAGCTGGCACCCCACCACGCAGAAGTATACTTGAAGACATAGCGTTCAAGCTTGCGGAAGTTGGCCTGGCGCTGCTCGGGGCTCATCGTGACGGCGTCGTGAATCGCATTGGCAAGCTCTTCAGTGTTCCAGGGGTTGACGATGATGCTGCCGTTCAGGGATTGCGCAGCACCGGTGAACTCGCTGAGAATCATGACACCGTGGTTCTTTTGCTGAGTGGCAATGTACTCGTAGGATACAAGGTTCATACCATCGCGAGTGGAGGAGACCAGACAGACGTCTGACACGGCGTAGAGGGCCGTGAGCTCGTCAAACGAGACAGATTGGTGGAGAAAGTGAATGGGCATGAACTCGATGGTGCCAAACTTTCCGTTGATGCGGCCCACAAGCTCGTTGACAACAGCGCGAAGGTTCTGGTACTCTTCGACATCCTGGCGAGACGGCACAGCAACCTGCACAAGGACAATCTTTCCGATCCACTCTGGATGTTCTGTAAGGAAGACCTCGAGTGCATGAAGCTTCTGAGGGACTCCCTTGATGTAGTCAAGACGATCGACACCGACGATAAGCTTGACTCCCTCGAATTTACGGCTGAGCGCAGCGATGCGCTCTTGGACTTTAGGCTTCTGGAGGCCCTCGACGAACTTTTCGGGATCGATTCCAATGGGGAACGCTCCAATAGTGACGTAGCGACCCTTCCAGTCAACACCATTGGGTGTAGTTGGTGTCCCCAAAATACGCGAGCAACTGCTCAGGAAGTGGCGGGCGTAATCATAGGTGTGGAAGCCGATCAGGTCACAGTCGAGGAGACCGGTGAGGAGCTGCTCACGTACAGGGAGAATGCGGTAGATCTCGCTGCTCGGAAATGGTGTGTGTAGGAAGAATCCAATTCGAACATTCTTCTTGGTATTGCCGATTTCTTCGCGGAGCATCTGGGGGAGGAGCATCAGATGGTAGTCATGGACCCAAATCAGGTCACCATCCTGAACGTCTTTGATGACAGCCTTGGCAAACAGACGGTTGACCTCCTGGTAAGCATCCCAGGCAGACTCGTCGAAGGTGATTTCACCGGGATGGTAGTGGAACAGGGGCCACAGAATGGAATCTGGAGGACAGAGGTTAGCAAGTACTAGGATGACCAGCGTCGAGCGTTTTGCAGCTTCCTATTTTTCCTTTTCTTTTGTTCCTCGTTCATTTGGGTTGCGACTTACTTGAGAAACCATTGTAATGCCTATCAGCGAGCTCATCGTCGACAAACACGGGATGGGCACCGTACTCGTCCTTCAAGCGCTTGGTCATGTCTTCGGCTTCGTTCTCGGGAACTTCGAGGCCCGGCCAGCCATACCACTGGAAGCTAGTGGTCTTGCTCAGGCCACTCAGACCAGTAACAAGACCACCTGACGACATTGAGAAGGAGTAGCTGCCATCTTCAGAACGCTTGATGGTGATGGGGAGACGGTTGGAGAGGAGGAGGAGACGGCCTGGAGAGGCAACTCCGTCAACCTCGGGCATGGCTATTGGTGACAGCCTCTGAACGAGGCAAAAAGACGAAGGATGCGATGTTAATCAATCGCAATACTTGCAGGCACAGCGACGGGAATGGGACAGAGAGGCTGGCGTTGGGCGAGGAAGCTCGTTGGTGTCGTTGAGCTGGCGATGACGACACTAAACTGAAGTCGTGAAAATACCTGGTTCTGGTCCTGGGGTGGGTTCAGCTTAGTAGGTTCCAAGATACCTAGAGCTGTAGTGCAGGTCGACAGAAGGCCGGCTACCTTTCAAAAATGGCAAACAGGGTCACGGTATACTTCGTAGCAGAGACATGCAAGAGACGCCCTCGGGGGGGATTGCTATCGGCGATGGTCAAACAGCAGCAGGAAGAGTTGCGGGACAGATGCGATTGGGCTTGGCGGCGAGAAAGCATGGAAGCAAGCAGCTTCCACAGCGGACGGAGGGGCAGCTCCTGGGCAGGTCGGGTGCAGTACATGGGGCTACCTATTTCAGCACACCGCATTGCGGGATATGCGCGGCGACATTTGCCTCCTACAGGTAGCTGGGAAGTACTGCTGAGGAGGCAAGGAGGGTCCTCTCCTCAGACACTCAACTCAGCCTGGTGAGGGGCAACTCTGTGCCCGCATCAGGCCCCTCAGTACTGGTACCTCGCTCAGCCTGATGCGCCCACAGCAGAGCCGGTACAGCCTACGAGAACCTTCATAACCTAAGTACACCCGCGTCTTGCGCCCAGAAGAAATTTCCCGCAGTCTTCCAATAGTTGGTCAGGTTGCCGCCTGGAATTCCCGTTTGCCGTTGCAGTGCATGATGAAAAGCCTCATTGCCCTCGGTAAGGTAACCCCTCGCTCCGTATGGGGATGTAGTGGTACATGCCTAAGGTAGGTGCCAGTGGCACACCGGTCTGGATGTGTGATATCCACAGGCAAGGGCAGCAGCTGTGGCGAGAGCCAACAACTTTGGCCGTGATTATTTATCACAGGAGCCATCAAGCTGAACAGGCGCATATCATGCCCACTCACGCAGCTACGGAATCACACGTGGTTGGCCTACTTGGCCTGCTCAGAGGCGGAAAGTTGTCCCGGTGGAAACGTAAAAGCACCGGTCCGACCCATCTTGCCCCCCCTCCGGTAGACTCTCCGGGACCGGGGCATCAGAGTATAAAGCGAAGCGTCGTGATCCCGATCCGATCTCCCGATGCCTCTCCTTTGGCTACTTTGAGTGTATCCCTGTCAGCTCCAAGAGAAGTTATTGCCTCCTGCAGGACGAAGGTTTTTGGGAGGCTGCATGCACGGTACATGTTTTGCAGCGTCTTTTATGGATTTGCGCGCGTTCAGGCAACCTACCTATTCTAGCATCATTATTAACCAATACATCTCACACATGGCATGCCTCATTCCATTGCTGCATACCTGGCCAACTAGGCATACCCTAGATCAACACAAGACTAGTACAGCTTGCAGTCGCATGTGAAATAATTGCTGCCATTGTTAATGTCTCGTTGATAATCCAGTCTATAATTAAGGTATACGAGGCAGTTTACTGGGCTACTTGTATGTATCCAAGGCATTTTCATAGGGATACCCAAGCCAATTAGTTACAGTGTATTGTTGATGACTTCTAGCATGGCTCAGGCACGACTCAGCATCGGAATAGCATGATTACAATGCGCACTCGGGGGCCAAACTTCGATAGCATTATTTAAAAATGGCATTCTAGCTATTCGAGTAACTTCTCTCGATATTCAAACAAGAATCGGCCACGATGTTATTGATAATATTGACTACAAGTGCTATTCGTGAGGAAAGTCGGAACAATTTTAGATCGTTGAATCACTGACGCTAGTGATAGCTTAAGCCTAACACGGTTCTAGTACGCCCGTGTCTGGGCTTGCTTGCAGTGGACACGCGCTTATCGATAACGCCAAATCAGGGCCGGAATTTTTTTGGGAGAAGGTTGAAAGCAAAGGTCATACACGGCCCTCGCTGCGTCACGACACGACAGAGAATCCAAACGGGGGGCTATATCTCCACCGCCCAGAGTAGCGTCATGGAATCGAAAAACGATCTCGCCTCCATCCAGGAGAATCTCCAAAACGCCCTCGTGTCAACCGTCAGAACCGTCAACCGCATCTCGGCAGAAGATCTTGGCTTCCAGCGCACAATCGACCCAGATGTTGGTGAAAAGCTCGATAGCACAACCAGTCGCATCCTCGAGCTCTCAAACTTGCTGCTGCGTTCTTCAGGCAAAGCATGCGGTGTCAGTGCGCCTAAATTGGAGGATGTCGAGGATATCGACATGAACTGGAGGAGTGTGGTGGATGTCGTCGACTCCCTACTCGAGAAAGCAGACACGGCCCTTGATGAGTACACTGGCCTCATTAAGCGTAAGGAGCCGACGGCGGCGGAATCCGTGAGAAACTATCCGTGCAAGTATACGTCACGTTATGCGCCTATCTAACCCTGTTTCTAGGCTCCCAATGCAAAGCGCCCTAAGTCCACGAGTAAGGTTATCAGAAATGCCAACATCGCTAAACCTCAAGTCAAGTTCGACCGTAAACCCGACAACTTTCCGACGACTCCCTGGAAACCTTTACTTTCTTCAAAGCCCCATGCCCAGGTTCCCTTGGACAAGAGCCTGGTCACCTTCACCAACGAGAACGGCACGGCTCAGTTCAAGCACCCCTACGAAGCAGAGATCACGGCTATGGAGTATCCGGCAAATGTTTTCAAGGTCGCGGATCCCGTGCCTTATCAGCCCATGGAAGGCACTCAGGCAACATATGTCGACACGTTCGAGGGTGTTCTCGAAATGCTTGAGCACCTGCGCAAAGCCAAGGAGATAGCCGTTGATCTTGAGCACCACGACTTCCGAACATACATTGGGCTTGTTTCCCTCATGCAGATCAGCACTCGAGACCAGGATTGGATCGTTGATACGTTGAAACCATGGCGCCACAAGTTGGAGGTTCTGAATGAAGTGTTTGCAGACCCAAGCATTGTCAAGGTAGGACTTAGAGCCCAGACGTGTGGTCGGCGTGGATACTTACAGCGCATAGGTTTTCCACGGTGCATATATGGATATGGTATGGCTTCAAAGAGATTTGGGTCTCTATGTGAATGCTCTCTTCGACACCTACTTCGCCTGTGAATATCTCGCCTACCAAGCCAGAAGTCTCGCCTTCCTTCTATCAAAGTTTATCAATTTCGATGCAGACAAACAATATCAACTAGCAGACTGGAGAATGCGGTATGTTACCCCACTATATCCTCGTTTTAGCATTTTACTAACAAGGCAATCCACCCAGCCCTCTACCAGAGGAAATGATGTACTACGCTCGATCCGACACCCATTTTCTTTTATACATTTACGACTGCGTACGGAACGAGCTTGTCAACGCCTCGGACTCGAGCAGCTCTGAAACGAGCTTAATAGCCAAGGTTCTTCGGAGGTCTAAGGAGCTGGCACTATCGCGATACGAGCATCCTACTCTGGATGAAGTCACTGGAGAAGGGTCAAGAGGATGGTATAACTATATCCTGAAGCATGGCCACCTTGCGTATAACGCGGAGCAATTCGCAGTTTTCCGCGCCCTGTGGAAATGGCGCGATGATGTTGCGAGAACGGAAGACGAAAACCCGAATTTCGTCCTCGGGACTACCACCATTTCGGACATTGCCCGGATCAACCCGCCAGATCCCAAAGCACTGCACAGCTCTCTCCCGCTGAACGCCCCCTTGGTCAAGCCTCGACTAACCGAACTTTGGCAAAGGATACAAGAGACAAAGGCCGAGGGCGGGCCAAGTCTACTACAATTTCTTACATCTCTGTCCCCAGATGCCTTCAAGAAGGGCAGCGCAGTAAGGCTTGCTGCGCCAGCAAACAGTCTGCCGAAGCTTGATAGCGAGATCGTAATGGTCAGGTTGGCAAAGTCTCGGCTATTTGGAGATATGCCAATCAGCTCTCGCTGGGAGGATTCAAAGCAAACGCCCTCCAATGGTGCAGATAACATTCCCTTTCCGTGGCAACGGTTTCTTCAGGAACATTCTGAACAGGGGCCTGGTGAGGACCAGGATATGGCTGCCACAAACGAGGCTGAGTTGGCTGGCACGTCTGAGCCAGTGGATGTCCCTGCAAAGGCGGAAGCTATAGAAGAACTAGACGACGAATTTACATTGAAGAAGGGACGTAAGAGGAAGTCAGCAGCTACTGATGAAGAAGACGAAGAGGAAGAAGGAGGAGAGCAGAACCGTGGTGAGGACGAGGATGAAGAAGACGAAGGCGAGGGTGACAGTGACGCCGAAGTCGAACAAGGAGAGGCCGGGTTGCTCAGCCTCGATGACGGGGAACCCAAATCTAAGAAAGACAAAGCAGCACGGAAGGCTGCTAAGAAAGCAGAGCGGAAGGCGCGAAATGCCGAGGAAGAGCAAGCCCGCCTGGCCAAGAAGGCGGAGCGAAAAGCATTAAAAGCACAGCGAAAACTGGAGAAGGAGCAGAAGAAACAGGGAGACCAGAAGTCATACAACGCCGTGCCATTCGACTACAGCACAGCGGCTTCGGTAATGAACGCCAGCCGTGAGGCATCGAACAACAAGGGCAAGAAGCCGGTCTTCGACCCATACGCGAAGACGGCTGACGATCTTCTCAAGGGTGCGAGGAAAGCACTGCCCATTAAGGGCGAGAGGAGTGGAACCTTCAAGAAATAAAATGTGTATTAGCTGAGAACGAGGCATATAATTCATCTGTTCGGAATGGACGAAACAATGCAGGCTGTAAACATGGCTCAATAGCCGCTGCCCATGGCGTGTGTAAAACGCGAAGTGCATAGGCGAATACGACACTGCGTGTGACTGCGGTAGCAGGTCTCAGTCGGCACTGGCAGTGTTGCATTCAGGCCTGCGCGGCACTTGTTATTCACACGGCCTGCCACAACTATGCCCAGCGGGACGACTTTATCCGTGTGTAGCCTGTGCATAGGTACATATATTTATGCAGGAGGTAAACTGTGGGAGTAAAATACCTGGGGTGTGAGTGGCTGACCACCACTCAACAGACCCTGGGGTAAACCAAGCCAATTGCGACGTAGCAGCACTGCAACTCTATAAGTCAGTCCAGGAAGGAGGGCGAAAAAACGCGTACGGAGTGCCTCTATCCAGCACCCATCCCTGATGTGATTCTGTCCCGATTTTTCCCATCCCAATTGATGTGAGTGTCAATGCATATTTCCGTGATCAGTCCATCAGTCGGTTGGGTTTCGGAAGCAAATATGACAGGTATCCTGTCTCAAGTGTTTGGCCCCGAGCCCCCGAGCAGCCATTGGGCAGGTTAGCAGGCACCCATCCAAGAGGGATGGATGCCTTTAGAGTTCCGTCCACACTCGCTAGCCCCCCCAGCGTCAGAGAGAGGCAGCCAAGCAGCGAGGGAAATCATCCCCCCAGGGACCATCTTGCCGCCCCCTTTGATCGTCCATCTGTCTTCCATCTTCCTCCTGACTTTATAACCTTCAGGAACGATGCGCCACTCCCGTCTCTCCGTCGAGTCCGTCTGCTGATCCAGGTACTCCCGTCCAGACGAGCAGCCTGGCCAAAGGGCCAGAAACAAAACAACCAGCCTCCGGGCAGCCATCTTGTTCTATGCCGTGCCCGACACGTAATAAAATGCTACATCGCCCCCGGTCGGATTCCTCCCCTTGAGACCTGCAGCGGCGCTGATTGGGTTTACTCCTTCCTGCCTGCACAGGTCATGTGATTTGAGTGAGGGGAAGGAGGGAGAGGGGGGGACGGGACCCCATCTCCTTCTTTTCTCCTTCATTCATCTCTCGCTGTGGGTGCCATCCTCATCAATTGACTTCCCGAACTCGTGAACATCTTCGTGCGCTGCTCCAAATGCCAGATGAGGTGCAGTCGAACCCATTCCTGGGCGGACTCGATTCACCCTAGTCTCTCTGAAAATCCGGGGCAGAGGCCAAAATTCCCACTCCCGGGTGGGTCTGGTGTCGTGTGATTCCTGCCTACAAACAGGAGGCGACCACGAAATTCTCCGCCATGGCAGTGTCCAGAGCCCTCGAGGTCAATTGGACTTCAATCGGGCGAGGGCACGACTGAATATGCCCTCGAGCGCCATGAGCCGTCGCGTCCGTGGCGACGGCTTGGTGGGTGCGCACGGTCCAGCACCATCCGCGATCAATCACCGCCAGCAACCGCCTCTCCAGGTTTCCCCAGGTCTTGGTGGGTCTCATCTCACCCTCCATGGCAGAGCCGAATCAGCAAGCTGCGGCGCGCGATAAGATGTTGGTTGATTTTCTTGATAAGACCGGGTTTTCGGACAGTCCTTGGATGGTGAGTCGATGTGTCTGCCTTTTGTTTTGCAAAGGAAGAAAGGATGCAGAAAGAAATCGGCAATCCCCTCCATTCTTCCTTTCCTCCACCCTCACAATCACCACTGGCAGAGTCTCGGGGCCACGTCGCGACTTCCAGACATCAATGCAAATGCGAGAGAGAAAAATCCCAAAGTCCAAGTTGATCGCCTAAAACTCCGTTAATCGAGAAAGAAGACATACTCCGGACCCTCAACGTTTAAATTCGGGGGTGGAAGGTCTCCTGATTTCCGGTAATTTACTTGATCGGCTCTGGACTTCTCGGCATAATTTTTTTTGTCGTGTTTTGTCCAGAGTCTCATGATTTGGGCGTCATGTTGTGACATTGATCACTGTGATTTGTTCGGATTTGGAACCACCACAAAGCTCCCTGTCAGCACCAGAACAGCATGCTTCTAAGATCACTGGCTGCGTTTTCAACCACCAACAGCTGCTCTCGAAGGTCGAGAGCTGCAAAAATGGCCCATCAAGAGAAATCCCGTTCCACGAATCTCGAAACTGGCAATTTTCGAGGGAAGAAAAAAATTCCACAGCTCGAAATACCAATAATCGCTTGCAAGGAAGTTCTCCAGGCCACTCAGCGGGGGGTGAAAGCCCCCTACTTATCAACAACAACATGAGATCTCCTGATCCACTCTCATCCTCAGCCCATGCGACCATCCCCCATTATTGGCTTCCTTCTCCTTCTGCCCCAGATGGTGTCATTCATAGCAGGATGGTCAATTTGGCACCGTGTGGACCATCTGAATCCCTCCTCTTTGCCTGAGACCCGTGCCTGGATGCTTGCCTAGGATTATAGGCATCAGCTTTTGCTACGTGCCGCAATGGAGCGATTATTGCAGCCAAATCCTGGTGCCAGATCTCAAGACCGGAATGGTCAGAGATTTGCCGGAACCTCGGTTATGCTGTTGGGCTTAGTGTCAGAATATATCCCAGAAGTCTGGAGTTGAGGAACTCTGATCGGCTACGGACGGCATGGATGCAGATTGGCTTCAAGATTGCGGAGAGAGCTTCTATCGAGTCCCCTCAGCCGAGCCAGGCAAAATCGGCGGAGCTAAGATGCTTGACAGTTTTGTCACATTTGAAGAGTTTCAAATTATGGCATAGAGATGTTGATTTGAGTGACAAAAGAAAAGTTCTTCGTTTGTGAAGAATCGAGTTGGATGAGGCTTTTTTTATTTTACAAATGGTCCCCTAGGAAGAAAACCGAGGGTTTCCCAACTCTATCACGAAGACGATACACCTTCATACGGCGTTCTTTCCCAGAGTCTATCCGCGTCTGTTACAAGGCAGGCCCTCCCTTTTTCTTGAACTGCTTGCACCGAACCATGCAACAAGTCATTAAACTTCACACCAAGGAAACGAGCTCGGTAAGGCTTCCTCTCAATTCGAGCTCGGTCGATCGATGCCAGCTGTTCCCACTCAAGGTAAGGAAGCAATTTAGGTCTGGGGATGGAGTCAGTATTCCGTCTCGGAATCCCGGAGAAATTTGCGGGAATTTTGGTTCTTCGGTCAACACTTACGAACTTGGCCATGAGGGCAACCATCAGGTCGAAAAGACCAATGGCTTCGACGAAAGCAAAGCCCAGAATGGCGTAAGAGAAGAGCTGGCCACGGAGAGCAGGGTTGCGGGCAACACCGTTAAGGAGGGCAGCGAAAACGAGACCAATACCGATACCAGCACCAGTCAGACCAATGGCGGCGGAACCCATACCGATGTTCTTGGAGACCTCAACGAGAGCCTGAGCGATCTCGGAAGAGTAGGCACGGCGCTGGACGGCGTTGCGGGCAGTGGCGTTGAGGATGGTGGAAGCCTGCTGGCGGCGGAGAGCCTGCATGGGGCTGGCAGTGCCTTCATTGGTTGCGTTAGTTGCTGTCCTGTCCAATTGGCCATGCTGGAGGGCTCCTGGAAACCGTTTGTCGGCTCAATTGGAGCTTGAAAAGATTTTACTCACTCAGGGCGCGCTTGGAGGCAGCGACGGGAGCACGCATGGCAGGGCGAGCGGCCTTGACGGCCATCTGGGAGGCCAGGCGGGAAGCGACAACACGGGTGGCGGCCATTGTGACTGTTGTGAGGAGGGGAGAAGGTGTATTGGTGGTGTGAAGATGGAGTTGGGATGGATGGTTGCAAAAGAAAGATGGAGGGAGCTCAGCAAAGAAGAGAGGACAGAGTTGAGGGAAAAGGGAAGAGAAAGAGGAGTCCACAGGTCGGAAGAGAAAGTTGCGGTCCCACTCGAACGGGAGAAACCAGGGGGCTAACTAGCCCCGGGCAATATACGGTACGAAGAAGCAACGAAGCTGGTGGTCAGCGGGAAGCGGTGGGCAATACCTACAATTCGCTCACAGTGAAAACGGTGCGACGACGCTGAGGAGGGAGGTGCAAATTTGGCACCTGGTGGAGGCTCTGACTGGCGAGTAACCTGTCGGGGGAAGTCGGGTGGGTACGAATGGAAGAATGCAGGGACATGATTGCACTGATTTCAGCGCCTTTGATGGAGTGGACCATAAGTCATGGTAACAAGCTTGCTAGCTGCTCCGCGATGGATCGCACGAACCGGGGTGGTTGGTTGTTGGGCGAGGAAAAGGCCTCAAGAGCCGAATTAATGCTGGGCGGAGCGGATGAGGAAGCGCCTACGACATCTACAAGTACGGATTTACAGGCAGGGCGGCCATCAAAACGACGACAATTGGGAATGACGGGGTGAGATACTGCCAAGGTCAGTACCCTTACGTGATGGGATACATGCGCTGGCACATGCTAGAGCAAGCAAGGGGCGGGAGCTGAGGAAAATTTTGCCTCTGTTCATTTCAGATGTTGCTGTCTGAGGCATGATCAGGCAACCAATTTTCGGGAATTAAAGATATTGTTTGGAGCCTCAGGTTTTTGTTTTTTTCGAGGTTTGATATTTTCCCTACCATTCTCGATCTAAAGCTCCACTTTCCCTCGTCGATGTGACCAGAGGACAAATCAAGGGGGAGAACTGGCACGTGGGTGGATCCCAGGCTTGAGACTGCGTCCCACCTGGAATTCAGGGCAGTGATAAGGCCATGTTTGGTCTGACCGTAGAACAGGCGGCATCAGGCACTGCGGGTATAAGAAGCCAGCAGGTTCTCCCACATAGCTCGTAATTGCGATGGTTCTGGTCTGCCGGCCGAGCGCAAGCACCTGTGATTCCCAACCATCCCAGATGTTGACGAATCTGAGCTGCAATGCGACCGCAGATCTCAGATTTTATGCTTCTCCGGCTGGCACGTCCATCCCTCCGAATAGGGGTTTCTCAGCACCAAGCCTGCCCGGCCGCACGCCCACTAATAACCCAGCAATAGCGTACACAAACGCAGGATAGCATCGATGAATTGGTGGCACGCACGAGGCTTTCTCCTCCCTCCGATTCATCTGTGCTGGGACGGTATAATTGAGAATTGTGAGAGGTCGATAATCGGTTGTGATTAGCTGCAAGATCGCAGATGCTGCAATGAGACACCAGAGCCTTGAAGCGCAGCCAATCAGACGCGGCATCGGACGGACGGCAGCCCAAATGGGTAATGACTCGTGAACCGTCCGGGACGGTCGGCTAACAAAATTTTGCCTCGTTTTTAACTCCCCAGGCCTACGAACCTCCGTTGCAACAGAAGGCTGCATTGCATCATGTGGCCACTGGGCACAGCCTTGGCTGAGCTAATAAGCGACCAGGCCCTTGTGGTCCTCCCACCATCCTCAGGTGCTGATGCAATTGCAATGCAGCGACGAATGGGGGGAAGCTCTAGCCTTACCATGCAAGCCAGTAAGTTAAAAGTTTGGTAGCCCGTAAACTTCGCACGCAAAATCTAGACCAGGCGGTTCCCCCGAGATTTCGCTTGACGACAGCTCAGTGTTGCTCCCATGCTAGATCTGGCATCCGCCCCTGTCTTGGCCAGATACTGCCGTGAACAGGGGCCCGATAATTTATCGGGACGAGGCCTAGGCAAAACCTCTTGTCCCTGCAGGAGGGAGAAGCGCGAAGCTTATTTGGAGAGGTGCCGCCTTGCTGACTCAGCCCCAGTCTATCAAGCGAAAATAGCCTTGAGATGTTATAGGGTAAGCTACGGGTTAGAGTTATTTCAACATTCTCCTTATGCCCGTATAAAGGGATTGTAGACACCAATAACCTCGTCCTGCCAACCTTCTTGGAGGTATATTGGGTTATAGTTTGTTTAATTGGCGCCTTTGGCGTCAACTTAACCATGTAAGCTACCAAGCGCTTGCGTGATCCGCCTGCAATCGCTTGGTTTCTGATCTGTCGTCGCATTAAAATCTCTCGAAGCTCTCCAGTGAGCTATCCCACCCTAGAGCCGGGATAGAAGTCGACTCTGCTTTGCAGTATCGGGATCCGCTTACGACTGTGTTCGGTGTAATTGATATAGTGAGGTGGTTTTGAACTCTTATCCCGATCTGTTGTCTGATCTATTGGTGCACCTTTACTAGGCGAGAATTTGAGAGCAATTCATAACTACTTGTTTCTTCACCCTAAGGTCAAGTATTTAATATTACTGGCGGGGCTTTTCACGAAAACGCAAATTCCTTGGCAATTCTATACATTATTACACACCAATGAAAGCCCGGAATAAATCCAATGCCTACCGGGCTCTGTTGTTAACTGCACGCTACCTAGGTGCCTTTTCCAGTTGGAAGTTCTCATATCATCCCGGGGTATCATAGTTTTGTAGCCATCTTACTCATCCGAACCTCCATCCGTCTGCTCCTCTCCAGACCCAGCACCGCTCTCCGGTTTCATGGCATAGCCCTCCACGAAACCATCTGGATCGCATACCTTCTCAAGGCTGAGGCGGTGGGTTGCTACGTACCGCCGGACGGCCGCCTTGTCGACACGGACTCTGGGAACCAGCTTGACCTCCGGCTTCTCCACCGCGAGCTCCTGGCCGTCATGCTGATCTGATTGCCCCTCCTCGCCTTCCTCACCGGCCTCGTCCCCAACGGTCTTTTCTGGCTTCCCCGGGCCCACGCCGGCGTCCTCGACAATGCCCATATCCCGGAGGACGAAGAGGCAATCGTCAGGAGCGATCCACGTCGCCTCGCTGCACTCCTTGATGTCCACTATCGTCTCCCGAGGGCTACCGTCGTGGTTAGGACCCTGGTCAACTTTCAAACTCAGCAGCCACCGGGCAATCTCACCAGCCCAGAATCGCATGTAGCCCTTTTTGCCCAGATCGGAAATCGGCTTCTCTGGCCCGCCCAGGAGTCCCTCCCGGCGGGATATCTCGTAAGATGCGCCCATGAGCAGGGCACCCAGCCCTTTTCGCTGCCAGGGCGGGAAGACCAAGATACAGGCGAGGTTGTTGTTATCCCACGACAGCTTCTCCTTCGAGAACAGGCCGGTGATCTGTGGTCTGGACTCGGGGGCGGAACTGGGGTCGTTCGGTATCGGGTGGGGATTTGGTGGTGGCGGCGGCGTGTATACGAGAAGGAAGTAGTTGAATGCCCCGACGTCGAAGAAGACGGACTTGTTGTCCAGGAAGAGTTTCGCGAAGAGGGAGAGGTTCTGACAGAATAACTAGAAACAAAACTGTTAGTAAACTAAAACGACGACATGAAGGTAAGAGAGTAGATGAACGGCATTGTGTAGTTTCCACCCCGCCAACGAAAGACTTACCCTGTCTACTTCGCCGTCAACCTCCCAAATGCTCCATTCCCCCTCGTCCTGGACCGTCTCCTCGACGTACTTGACCCCGCCGTCCCCGCGCCTCCTCTTGGCCCCCAGAGTCTTGACGCCCTGCGGCACGAGCCTGGTCCGCCGCCCGCGCGGATGGGCGTAGATCTTGCGCCCGGGCACCTTGCCGCGTAGCGGACACACCTTGCTGTGGCCCCACCAGGCGACAATCTCCCTCGAGTACTTGAAGCAGCTCGGGCAGACGTACAGCCTGTTGAGCATGGGCGGGGCCTGGTCGCGGTCCTTCTTGGCCTTGTCGTCCTTGCCGCCGGCGGGCTTGGGGGCGGCGGACGGGTCGCCGAGCAGCTCCTTGCCGTAGTAGCTGGGGTACCATGTTCGGAAGCAGAGGTCGCCCAACACGACTTTATCGATGTTGCGGTCTGCCCTCGGGGGCTGGCGGTCGGCGGCGGCCGAGGGGGGAGGATGAGGGTGAGGAGGATGATGCGGAGGAGGGTTCTGGGTCGGTATTCTGGGTGGAGGGACCGGGGTGACGACGGCGGGAGGCAGACGGGGCTGCTGGACGGGTGGTGGAGGCCCGTGTGGCCTGACAAGGGCGGAGGAGAAGGGACTGGTCATTTGCTGGGGGAGATGCTGGGGCACATGGTAGGAGATTTCGGGCGCGACGAGGTCTGAGGATCGGAGGGGATCGTTCTGGGCGGCGATGCTGGCCATGTCGGTGTCGCGGGCGCCAGAGAGAGGTGGGCGCTGCTGACTGGCACTGGCACTGGCACTGGCGCTGGTGGTGGCAGCTGGGCTAGGGATGGGCGTTGTCGTCGCTGCTGCTGGCGGCTGCTGGGTCGACCGAGCCTGCCCACGGCCACGTCCGAGTCCGCGTCCACGCCCTTGGGTCTGCTGGTTGCCTCTGTGCGATGATGGCGGTGGTGGTGGTGGCAGTGATGGGGAGTCTTGTTGGTTGTCCTCGATGTTGGATGGCGAGTACTGACGTGCAGCTGTGCGACGCGATGTGCGACGCGCCAGGTGCTGGTGGTTGGCTGTGCGTTTGGGCGGCATCCAGTATAGTGCAGTGCAGTTTAGTGGGCTGACGCAGGTGGCTGCAGGGCTCGTCATGCACTGAGGTGTAATGAGGTTGGTCACTGATTTACATATGTAGATACAGGATAGGGGAAGAGATAGCATGTAGTTCTAAATGCCAGAGATTATCTTGATAGAATGGGAAGAAGAGAACAAGACATGAAACGGCTACATTCCACCAGAGACCCTGTTATGTCACGAAAGAGTCTCCTCCCCGACCCGGCATGGTTTCCTGATTCATTCTCTGAGCCGATACCAGATCTTGAAGCACTGAAGGTGCTGACTCACTGACTTACAAGGGCACGTTCTTAATCCATAAAGAGAGCAAATTGAATACAAGGCACTCTCCCTGGCACATTACTAGGCTTCTTTTTTAACATCGCAAAAGTTTTGATAAAACTCAATTACTCTCAATTTGCTAAAATAACATACGAAGGGAGTGTGTCAAAGTCAAGGTGGCTATAGCGCCAAAATGTTCCACAGCTCTTGGGTCTGACCTAGACGTTAACCTTCATCACTCATATATGAGGGAAGTTTTTGATAACAGCACAACATGAGAAACCACTCGAGCTCCTCAGGTTGGGTTATGCCAAACCTCAGACACTAGAAGCCACTCCGCAACAAAAAAGAAAAACAGACAACATGATCAATCTCCGATAATAAATAGGGGACTTCCCCCTTTCAACGACGCCGAAGCGTGCAGACCGGTCCCACGACCTTCATCACCTCATCAAGGGTATGGTCATCCTCGTCCCAGTTCTTCACCAGGGTCATCAGATGACGGCGGGCCAGCCCGGCATCGCGGTTCCGGTACACGCTGTCAATCTTGCGCACCTCGCGGTCGTTGACCAGCCACCGCTTCTCGTCCTCCAGGAACTTGCTGTACGTCATGTCCTCGCCGTACCTGGCCCGCACGCGCGCCTCCAGGTGCGCCCGGATCGCCTTCTCCGAGGCCAGCTGCAGCTTGGACCGCTGGCCCGGGTCGACGAGCGTCTGGTCGCGGGAGGGCTGGAACGTCGCCTCCGCTTTGGCCGGGTCCGGCAGG